ATTCAGAGCAGTTTTGGACCCCAAACGCCCCGGTTTTGCCTACTTTGTCACACTTTTATGTCCTACATAACTAATCATGCGTCCTATCGAAGCGTTGCTTGCTTTCACAAGTTTGTTTGATCTAGGCCGAGGTGACCGCTACGATCTCGGGTTGTTTCCAGGCTGTTTCCAACTTTTTGCCCCAACCGGCTCGTTTTTGCCTTCTCTATCACATTTTGGTTTCCATGGAACAGTCACAAATTCTTGTTTAACTAGTCATCCTTGGATCAGTGGAACATTACAATGTTTAAAGTTTCTATACTGGTCAACATAAACTAAACTGTAAATTCCATCTTTTATATAGTTAAACAAAAATTAGTTTAAAGACAATCATTTCTCTATGATATTCTCATCAAACGTTTATTTGCCTTTACTTTGAACATAAATATAATCAAATATGGTTTAACACACTTACCAATTACCATGACTATCTATTGTCGAGAATTTGGTAGATTGCGATTTTCCAAAACTTGCGCCAACATGCTCTGAAGTCCAAAAAGCTGCCGCTGCATCTCCTCACGTTGTCTTGTATTCTCTGCCTCTTTCATTTGTAGAAAAGCTATAAAAAAAATTAAATTAAATTTTTTTTTTAAAAAAAAGATACTAAATATCACTACTGAATGAATAGCAGAGAGAGAGTGGTTGAGAGATGACTATCAGTTTCACTTACTTGCCTACAAAATTAACATACTAAATATGCACTAGTTCATTTTGATGACAGGAAAAGATTATAAAAAATAAATAAATAAATAAAAAGAAAAAGAATAAGAAGAGGAAGAAAGAAGAAAATGCATTAGTTAAGTAGCTTTGCATACACTATGCATTTAATCATAGATGTATATATGCACATAGGTACACATAATACATGCTCGGTATATTGTTTTCTCTTGATCTGTTGTTCATGTTATAACAGGCTGGAAGACATTCTTGATCATAATTTTCTCAAACATGAATGTCTAATTTTCTCAAAAAAATGTGCCCACCTGAACATAATAACCCACTCGCGAATAGGTTAGTCAAAAAGTCAACCTGGTTTACTCCTTCCAATAGCCTCAACTCCATCTCATTATGTACAGGAAACAGAACTACTCACTTATGTCCCAAACTATCTTGGCAAAAACATTTTAGTAACATAACTTAAAACTAAAATTAGGAGTAACAAATTGATAGGAGATTAAGGTTGATCTTGTCATAACAAAATATACTTGAGAGAATTATATTTCTCATCCGGCGCTCGAAAATCAAAATTGATTCTTGCACTTCTCATCAGAAGGCAAAGCTCGACAATTAAATGTCTCACAGGATCAAACTTGCTTGATCCCCCATGCAAAGATGTAATCTCTCTCGCTGGATGAATTACATTTTTTTTTGAGCTGGTTTTCCCTTGACAGAGATACAAGCAACTTTCATTACTAAATGCATTATTGTCCTAGAAGCAACTCAATCAATAACTAATCCTGTGGCAAGGAAGGATTTTCAACCATACAGAACAATAGCCCACACTTATTCAGGTTTGATGCTTGAGTGACAATAATTGCCAAGCATGCTGAAGTATTTCTTCTCTATTTCTATGTTACAACCATATCAATGAACTGCTGTGTTAGACTTCCTGCTTATGTAGAAACTTTGTTCTACCTTAGAATATAAATAAGAGAAAATATGAATGTCTTTACCAAACATTGCCTCAAATTATGGGACATCTTGATTCAAATCCATACCTGAAATGCATGCCAAAGTCCAAATATAAAATTGGTGGTCAACCTCAAACAACCCAGTCTGCTGCACTATTTTAGAGTATTTAATCCACATAAGCTTAGTTTGAGAGCCCAAGACGAAGTGCACGATAAGCCCTAAAGAATGAGGAGAGGGGGTATTTCTATAGAAGGTAGGTGAGTAAACACCTGTCTTGCACTCATTGCAAAACAGTTCCAAGGCCCAATGTCAAGAACACTAAATGTTTATCTTCACATGCTACTAATGATATTCCACATCAACCAAGCACATACCTTTATATCTATATAATACTTCAGCTATTGTTAAATCATCAGAAATTCAATCAATAGAGACAACATTTTCACTTAGGGAGAGCCGGTCAATTCTTGGCTTGGTTGGGGCTAGGGCTGTAGATCAAGCTTTGTTGCATGTGAAAAAATTCATATAAGCCCATTAGGAGCCCTTTTGAGCTTGATTCTTGTGCATAAATTGGTCGAACTTGAACTTGATTTCAAGATTGAGTAGATAGAGATCAACACGTAAAAGTTGAATGACATTTTGTTACCAGCTTAAAGGGCTGCTTCCTTAGCTTTTTAGGCTATAAAGGCCAGCTTTTGGGGCTTTTTTAGCCTAAAATACCAAAAACAAAACGTATGGCTTTTAAATAGGTGACTGATAGGGATGAAGGAAATCCTAATTTTTTGTAATTCAAACTTGAATATTTTTACCTCACACTAGGCAACATATTTTTTTAAGCTTAAAAGTAGCATTTAAAAACACAGCTTCATAAAAGTTAAGTTTAGCTTTTCAGCCTATTTTGAAGGTGAAAAAACAAACAAGCTAAAAACCTAAAAAGTTTTACTTTTACCAAACAACAATCCTTCCCAAAGTACAACAACTTAAGCATGTGAATTATAAATTTAAAACAAAAAAAAAAACCGGAAACCTCAATAATTTTTAACATGCGGAACCAAAAAATCTACTAGCTAGAGCTACACCATCTTGAAATCATCATCGAAGTAAGATAATAACTTGCCATGGCCAACCATTACCTTTAGCCATCATGACAATTTTGAAAGTATTGCATGAAGTATCAAGTAGGGCAAGTCTACTGAGAAGCTTGAGTAGGTCATTGCAAAATTAATTCAAGCTTGAACTAATCTTATAGTAGCCATCTTCATGTGAGTTAAGTTTTAATTATTATGATCAAAATTAATTCCCACATAAAAGCATATATACATGAAGGATTTGTTATGCATTTGTAGATGAAGGATTTGTTAGATGAAATTATTTGTTATGTAATTATAGATGAAACTTTATTTTTTGATGATGCACCCAGTATGATGCCATATGCAGAAAGACAGGCCATCTATTTTATAGTCAATAAGTGGACCTCACAAGCCAGCACTTCACTACTTATACTCAAATATGCAAAACATATAGAAAAACACAAAACAAAAACCAATGGGTGAAATTTAAAAATATCATATTGTACATACCAGAAGTGCCTTGAAATTTAAACAAGCATGCTACCAATCTCTTTTTACACAAGTGTTTGTGCTTTATTTGCTTTCACAACCTCTTCTTTTCCTGGTGTGCCCAAATGGACCATTGAGAATAATCAACTAAAAGACCGACACTAAGGGATATGAATGCACCAAGTTTGGTTACTGTTCACATTTATGTCCATTTAAAAATTGGACGACGATGGTGACTACGGACTAAATGACTGGACATTTTATAGGTGAGCAATAACCGATATAATCAGGTAACAGTAATTTGTGGGGGTAAATTCCAAATATGAAAGACAAAGTGACAAAAAGATACGTTGATTGGGATCATACTGTCCCTTGGGATTTGTTGCACCAAAGACAATTGTCCAAGTACTGAGAGTTGTCACAAGACCAGCCTGAAAAAAGCAAATGATATCCAGGAGTCATGTTTCCACGAGTAAAAAAAGCTCAATTCAAAAATCAAAACTTAAAAGATAACTAACAGTGTTCTAACTCCACAACTTGTCCTATAATCACATGCATATTGATGTTAGATGTGATTGAAACTTAATTCACACAATCAAGTGGATTTTCAAAACAACCAATATGGATCAACCATAAGGAAAATCCTACAAGTACATGCCACATTCCGTTCTAGTGCAATTTTGGTCAATATTGTACCCAGTGTGAATTTGAATTGGCATGCACGTGAAATTTGGTATTTCCTTGGGACACTGTTCTTTAATGTGAAGGGCAATAGAAATTTTTAGCTTATATACAGAAAGAAACAAGTACTTGTGTTTAAGAGTATTTACAAATTTAATAGAATTTTTCCAATTAATTAAAATGTAATAAAATGACCTACCTTGGCAATGCTTATAGTTTGCTGCTCCATTGCTTCATGTATCGTTGCCCTGTCATGTTCCCTCATGCTGCCAACAAAGAGTTATTTGAGTTCAGTACTAGATAACATAACATGTCCTTTTTTTATTAATAAGGATGCCATAATAGGTATCCAATATCTGACTAATTGAATGCTTAAACAAATGAATGTTTCTTGAGACAGTTTTTGCTTAACCAAGCATGTCTGCATGTGGAAGACTACCTTTTATGTCTCATACCTTGCATTAGCATTTCTTGTTAAACAGAATGACAGATACTACCTCATTTAGCAATTAATCTCAATTTCCCCAAGCAAAAGGTACACTACAATTTAGTTCAAAAGAAATATAAAAATCTAGGCCTGCTTTAAGCAAAAATAAAAATAAACGATGCTTTGTTGAGCCAAGGACAATTGATATTGCTGAGGTTTCTCATGAGTTAATGGTATTATTAAGTTTCCTATTTTAAATGGGAAGCATGATATAGTATCTACTTTTGTCCAACTATGTATTCAGATATGATTTTAAGCCTATGATGGGGAATTGAAATTTGGGGGCTATAACTGAATAAATCAAGTCATGAATATATTTATTCGTATTTGAAACATCACAGAATTTTCACAATGAAACCATGTTAGTTCCTCTCAAAATTATTAGATACTATGGGGTCATTAATTTATAGTACAAGTGGTCTTATCGTCTCTAAGTTTGTATAAAATAGGGATGTCAAAACATTCTTAGATGGAGTATATCCTATCAATGGATGAAATCACAAAAAATAAGTTGGTTTTTTATTTTTGCTAGACCACCATGAGTCCCAAAAGCTTAAGATGTCAGGAAAAGAGCCCAACAATGCATATCAAGCTTTCCAGCACCAAACATCCAAACAAGTAAAAAAATATGATGCAAACGGAAAAACAAATGCAAATGGAGAGACTTGAATCCAAGACCTCTCTTAACCTAAGCTCTGTTACCATGTTATCACTAGTCCCAAAAGCCTAGGAAAGGGGGCCAACAATGCATATCAATCTTTCCAACACCTATGAATGTTGATTACAGCAAAGAAAATTTTAATACAGCCATTCAAAGGTAGTAGTCATACCTGTCAAATTCATCTATGCAACAAAGACCACCATCTGCTAATACAAGGGCCCCAGCTTCCAACATCCATTCCCCTGAAAGTTCAATCAATGCGTTTAGTATTTTCTTTTTCTTGTTCTATAAGTAAATGCATTCAGTATTTTGTTGAACTGAAGTTTCCATATATGTTATCTTTTAGTGAAAGGCAGGTCCAAGGAAAAACTTTCCAGGGATTTCAAAAAGAAAATTCTCAAACAAATTGACTTTCTCATGTGATGCCAAAAAGATCTATAGTACAACAAGAGAACTATAGTTTAGTGGAATATCCTATGTAGTTTGATACGGGGAGATATGTTCTCACTTTCCAAAGTCATCCAACCACAACAACAGGTTTCACCAAACACACACGCAGAGGAGGGAGGGAGATGGATGATAGTTATGACAATTTTACACCCCACCAGTAGTCATTCCTGGCTTATTCCCACAACAATGCAAGTTGCAAACCATTTGCCATAGCTCAGTCAAGAAAAAGAATGTATTCCAGCACCAAACAAGTGACTAAATCTTACACTGACCACTGAGAATCTTAATGAAAACTCCTTTCATGTCAAGCTCCCTTCATGGGATCAATCAAAGGGAGAAACACATTCTGAATTAGGGAAGTATAAATTTTTCAGTTGCCTCACTAAACAGCTACATAACTTCTGCTGAAATAAAACTACAAAGCACATTATCTGATGAAAGAAACAAAGAAAGCAAATAAAGAGACACCTAAAACAACAAATATGTTGCAAACTTGACCCAAGTTCAAACATAACTATTAAGCCAGAAGGTCAACAAAGGTTACCTCCATCCTTGACTGCAGTAACTGTCAATCCAGCACTAGTGCTTCCCAAACCAGTAGTAATAACTGATCTATTGCTCAATTTAGCAGCAAACTTCAAGAATTGAGACTTTCCAGTACCTGGTAGAGTTATAGAATTACAGAGAAGCTTTAATGCATCAGTTTTTGTACCATTTTAGCAGTTGAAACAAATTATGAAATAAAAATTTTAGATTGGTATTTATTCAAGACCAACACTAAAAAAACAACGCCCAATTAGTATGTTTAGGAGGGGAAAGATTGGGTACACACCTAACCTTTGGCATAGTGCACAAAGATTAGGTTACTTGTTTTCATCTAGATGTCTGTGAACAGAAAATAGCCTTTGCTCAAGTTAGTCATCCGATTTAAATATATATGTACTGTAGCCCAAAAGCAGACATAATTTTACAGTACTTTGCACAAGATAACTTAGCAGTATTACTCCCTCTAGCATATTGTACTTCTAATAAGTAACCATAATACCAAAACCAGGAGGTATTAAGAAAGTATTTCAGGTTCAATGTTCTAACTACAGGAATGCATATTAAAATTATAGGCTACAATTTTCAATCTAGCTCATGAAGCAAAAATGACATATATTTGTGATATGAGACTAGTGTAAATGTATGGTAGTGTAAGAATAGTATTTAGAATCGTAACAGCATCCTCAGTGCCATGCCAGGTCTAGTCAATCATGAATGGACTAGATCAACAAAATGTCATGATTGATTATAGGGTGGAGTGAGGATTTAATTTTTTAGTCCAGTTTTAATTATAGTAACGCCAAAAGTAGAATAATTTCCAAAGGTTTAAGAGAGTTTATCAAGTGAAAACTTAATACTGAATTAAAATTTACAAAATCAAAGCAAAACTCTAGTCAGTCTAGAAGTGTAAACAAGTTTAAGGAAGCAATGACCATGGGTGGGGCAGTGTAGTTAATAATGATTGACTATATTCACGATTTCTTTGCTTTTGAATTGTTCAAATTTATGCCACAGGAAGCACGCACGAATTTACTTATAAAATATCAAGTATATTATATATGAAAAGAAAAAGGTCACCTGGATCACCAACTAGAAGCAAATGAGACTCTCCTCGAACTTTCGTCCCAGAAGCATCAGCATGTTGCACACCTCCAATAAGTGTTAATGCAACTGGATTGATGGAAAATCATCACTAAATATAGTTATTTTTATGTCCAAAACTGAAGCACACAATGCAATGGCAACCTTAGAAGTTATGTGAAAAGGGACAAATTAAAATGGGATGATAAAACACCTGCAAGCTTTACAGTAAAGAGTCCAAAAATCTGTGGGCATATACCTCGCAGAATGGCATTCCTCCCTGTGGTGATGTTGACGTGTTAGGAAAAACTAGAAAAGTAGAACAGCAACCTAAACAACTTGGTGCAGAAGCAAATAGAATCCAAACATAGATACATGTATGTGTATAAATATATATAACCAGAACTTCTTGAATTTTATAAGATGTTTTTACCTTTTAAAGGTGTATCTTTGAAATTCAACCAGAAGTTCTTGAATTGATTAATAACGTCATCAGGAACATCAATGTCTGTCTTCAACTCATTAATTCTTCTAAAAATGAAAATAATTCATTTAAAAGCAAATATTGGGGAAAGGACAAATCACTTATTTCAATTATTCAACCTGATTAGAATTATGAACCTATGACTGCAATTCACAAAGTAAGCTTGCGATAGGGTGAAGGCACCGAAGTACGCTTCAAGATTTTAAAGCAAAGTATTAAGAAATAAAATGCAATCGAGTTACTTCTGGCCAGAACCAAGAACACATATCATTATGAAACATGAATAAAGGGATTAAATTATCAATAATAAAATAGCAAATATTCATCATTATCAAGATAATTGAGAGGCTCAGACTCCAGTAGTTAATTATGGGTGCCATATACCTGCCTTAGTTCTGGAATAAAAATGTAAAAGCAGGTTTAAGGTATTGCTGCCCACATAATCCTGTGCCATGCCAATGATGGTACTGGCAAGACTCTGCTCACCATGATGGTAAGCTGAATGCTCAGATACATAACCAGAGAATTGAGCAACTTTTGCGTCCTTCACAAAGTTGCGCTTGAAAGAACAGAAAAGGATCTTCCTTTGACCTGGTTTCAGGCCATCAACCATTGAAGGAATTGACCAAGAAGATAGAACACTAATTGGCAGTATGATCTCTATCAATAACATGAATGAAGTACATTAACAAACAAACAATCCAGAAAATCCAAGTAAATTGCTTTGAAACCTTTATCAACAATTGTTGATCTGACAAGCAAATCACTGGTAGCAAATAAAAAAACAAGAGCTGAGCCTATAAATTCACCATGAAAATAGATATAAACCCACAACTGAAGGTACACAACGTAATCAAAATTTACCAATCAAATTAGTTTCAAACAATTTCTAAATACAAAAATTAGAACACACAGACATCAAAGTATAAATTAAATATCTGAAATACAGATTTTTCAATTATACAAGAAAAAAGACTGAAAGATGAAACCAATATTCACAAAATATTCTGAACTTGAACTTACATTTGAAACATCCCAAAGTAATAAAAGATAAATGCCAGATATTATTATTTTATTTTTTTTGGATAAGTATAAATGCCAGACATTTTAAAAAGATTTAGCAACAAAAGTTTTAAAAAAATTACCAAAACACAAACCAGATTTTCACAACAATCACACATCACAAGATTCAGAACCAATTGTCATTATTGTCAGATCATATTCACCTATGGGCTTGTTTGATTGGGTGGATTATAACATAAGACTCTAATTATTAATCCATGGGATTCACATTCCATTGTAAGGTTGCAAATGTTATTATTCAGATTAGATTCCATTTTTACATATTCAATCCTATTTAACTTTTGATTGTTTGCATCACATCTCAAGTCTAACCAAACACCAGGCTGTGGTAATGCCATATTGATTCTTACACCAATAACTTAAAAAATGTATCCACGCAATATGTGATCAAGGCACAGATTTGTCAAAATTTCAATATAAAAACAAAAACACATAAAACAAGTTACAGAGGCTAATGTTTGCCTCCGAAACATCAGAAGAAGTTGGGGCCAATGATGAACTCTTTGTTAAAGGATGGAAACAATATTGGAATAAAATGTCAAAAAATGAAACATAATCTACGAACAAAAACACTTACGCTATGTCCCCAGCAGTTGAAGGTGAGCCATACTCATCAAATAGTCGCATAAGATCCCCAAATTGCCCATGCAAATCACCAAATATCTTGATAGGAGCCCTAAGTTGTAGAACACGAATCGAGCGAGTAAAGCTTCTTTCCCTCAGCCAGATCCCACAACAAAATAACCCCATCTTTCCCACCACTCGCACACAGCGACCCATTGGGCGACACGACCACCGTATTTACATACCTAGAATACCTAGCAAGCAAAGCCCTAATCTTACAATTCTAAAAATTCCAAATCTTCACAGTTTGATCCCAAGACGAAGACACAATCGTAGGCTGAAGATTATTAGGGCTAAATCGAACACAACTGACCCAATCGGAATGAGCATCACCATCCTGAATCGTGTACTTACACTCACCCAAAGTGCTCCACAGCTTGATTGAGCGGTCTCGGGAAGCAGAGACGATTTGGCGATTATCGAAGGAGAAAGTGACGGAGAGGACATCTTTGGAGTGGCCGACGAAGTGGCGAGCAGTGATGCCAGTGGAGAGGTCCCAGAGGCGGAGAGTGGGCACCGATTGAGAGGAAGAACACAGAGAGGGAGAGGGCGGACCGAGAAACAAAGAGAGAGGGCACCGATTTGATTTTATTTTTTATTTTTTTTCTGATTTCAATGTACAAAACGACGTAGTTTTAAAATTAGCGACCAAATTTATTTGTCGCCAAAAAATTTCAATTCCCGCCCCACTAAAAATCAAATTTCCCTCCCAAACTTTTGGCGACCAAAAGACCATATTAGTCGCAGAAAAAGTACCTCCGCCGACAAAATTTTTTAGTCGCCAAATTTCAATCAACGGCGACTAAAATATTAGTTGCTAAAAGTACTAATTTGGCGACAAATTTTTTTTGGTTGCTGAAAATAAGTTTTTGGCGACCAAATTTTTGGTCGCCAAAAAATATGTGACCTTCTGCGACCAAATTTGTAGTTGGTCGGAAAAAGTATACCACTTTCTGCGACCAACTCATTTTTTGGTCGCCAAAATATAACCTTCTGCGACCAATAATATTTGGTCGCCAAAAATAATGATAATTCGCGACCAATTAATATTTGGTCGTCAAATGTCATTTTTTAGCGACCAAAATTTTTTTGGTCGGCAAAAGTGGTCGGCAAATGTGTAAATTCTTGTAGTAAGAAATCATTTAGCACAACATATAAAATTTAGCAAAGTTATAAGTACACTATACATACACAATGTCAGTGATAGAGGCATCCATAGTTTATATAATCATAAGGTACCAATTTCCATTCATTTCATTACATAGACCAGTTTCATTATCTCTTTAACAATCCAAATGAGACTTCAACTCATTAGTTCTACAATCACATCAACAATGCATGAACACTTTAAACTTTTCTTTCATGGAAATTTTGTCTGCAGGTAGCCGCCAAACGGAACCTATGTAAACGTAGACTATACAAGCACTACAATTGCCATTTTGCGGATATTTTGTTTGCGGGCTAAGCACCCATGTATAATTTCAGGACTTTCACCAAAGACACTCCGGCCAACTTAATTATAATGGAGTCCATCCCCTTTCTCCTCCCAAACAATCATTCATACATATGCAATAGCTTTAAACACAACATCAAACAATGGAGCACATCCCCTTTCCACTCCCACATAGTCATACATATACAATGTATATAAGCATAGTCATATTCAATGATAAACAACAAGAGATAAGTATTAATTCACTTAATCCTCATGCAATGTCTACAACAATCATGGCTATCCTCCACCGATAGCCCAATACAGTTATTTCTAAACAGATATCCAATTTTATGACAAATAATTTATTCAAATTAAAAAAGAATGAGTTAATACATAACTTATCCCACCATTCATAACAATACTCTCTCAATTTCACATTTTCAAAGACAATTTCAATTATCTCTATAAAATAATCATGATAGTCATTTTAGGGCAAAACTTCCCCTTTTCTAATTATCAACCCAAATATCATTCCCAACCATTGTAACCCAACATCATTTCATTCTCACAACCCACATCCATGTATTTCATGTTTAACAACAATCTCTCTTTCCATATATATACCTAAACCCTAGGTTTGCTTACAACACCCTCAACTCGCATCATTGTCATGCAACATACAAATAACTAAGCTAAATAACATATAAAGGTGTAGAAATGGGAACAATCGCAACATTAAACCCTCATTGGTGAAATTCTAGATCTTCACTATAGAGCAAATTTCTAGAAATTTGTGCAAATGTTTGTAAGGGTCATTATGAGCTAGTCCATGGAATGATGGGAGCATTTGGATGGTGCTGAACTTAATCTCACAATGAGCAGCGGTGGTGTCGGGTAACTGAATGCATGATAGTGATGTATATTCAGTGGGTGTGAAGTAATTCTTAAGGGTCCGGTTGGACCCATTCGAGAAATTCGGGTTCACCATCTCTAATGGTTCTGAGTATGGATATGGCTATTCAACCCTAGGAATATGAGAAGAGGCTCTAAGGTTCCTAAGAGTCTTTTCTAGTTCAAGATCCAAACTCCACAATTCAGGGTGGCAAGAACGGCCCCTGTGCATACACCACTCACACATACACACACTAAGTTTCGACTCTTGTGCACTAAGTTATGAAAGAAAAATACTAAAGGAAAAAAAATACTCACAGCGGTTTAACGAAAATGCTTTACTCGTCTTGTGGGTGCTTAACGTGTAGACCGTCGTCTCCAATCTCCACTTGAGCTCTTTATTTTTAGCACTTCAGTGCATTTCTTGCAAGTATTTACTTTTTTTTTCTTTTTTTTTTAATGCACTTTGGTGCTACAATTTGTTTTTAAAGCTAGGTTGCGCTTTGCTTATACTTCAGTGATAGCTCCACTTGCAAAAACTCTACAACACAATTAGCAACACAAAAACATAAAATCCTAAACTAAAAATTAAAATAAGAATATAACTTTAAATTAATTAACTTCGCCAGAAGTCCCCGGCAATGGCGCCAAAATTTGATGGGTCATTTTGCACACAAAAATAAACGCTGAACTGTACCAAATTCTTTAGAATAATGATAAATCCAAGTATCAATCCACAGGGACAAATGTAAAATTAAACTAATTTAATTGTTAAAATTCCTAAATTAATTTTGATCAAAGAGATGATTGTTCGTAAACTAATGATAATTAAAATAACTAAGAGATTAAACTATCAATTAAAAGTAAATATGAAGTTACTGATTTTGGAAAAAAGCCTAGGGTAATAAATTCACCACTAGTTACATAAACAAGGTCTCAATTTGAAAATCAATTATGTTATGGTTCGAACCAAATAATACATTGCAACTACAAGTCCGAAGTATTGATCAAGAGAATTATCACATTCAATGTATAGGCATGAACCATCTCAAGTAGCACGAGTCGTTCGCCCTAAACTAGGGTAGCAATACGACTCGTCCCTTGTAGTATGGCTCGTCTAATATGTTGAATATGAAAGCAAAGAAAACCATTGCATGGAGAGCATTCAACAATCACAGAAAGTAGAATACTCGAAAGAAATAATGGAAAATATATTTAAAAACTTCTTGAATACCATACAACTTGTTCAAACCATTACATAATAAAAAATAAAAAAATAATAAAAAACCTATTTACTTGGCTAGGGTTTTTTCAAAACCTTAGAAATAGAAGTCTAGCCACTCATGGAGGAGTGGGAAGAGATAGAAGAAGAAGAAACCCCCATGAAAGATGTTCTTGAACATGAGAACCCTCATTTCCAAACCCTAGCCCCTTCTCTCTTTTGAAAAATTTCAGAAACCTAGAGCAACCTGTTTTTCTTCTTTTTATTCTCAGCAAAATGAGCTCAAAATTTCGGGCACGTGTCCCTAGGTGGGCTGCTCGAGCAATGATGGGTCGCATGTGCGGTGAGGTGGTAGGCCGAGAATTTTCACTACTTGCATGGAGAATCTGCTTTTGTGCCATTTTTTGCCTGAATTTGCATATTACCTGCCAAATCTGTATAAGTGCGCAAAACACATCATCTTTGCCAAATTAAAAAAAAATATCAAAAACTATAAATGTAACTTAAGCGGCCTCAATGTGGTACCTTTCGACCTACATCAGTCACCGATCTTGGTCATTTCTCTGCTCGGTCATATCCAATTCATTTTGGGAAAAATTACAGTCAGCTCCAGAGTCCAGCTGAGATCGTAGGCTGCCCCTCAGCCTGGTTGAAAGCAAAATTGTAGTTCGATCAGCCTCAGCCTTGGACCGAGCTAATTAGATACCTCAACCTAACACTAGGGCGTCTTTCTACATCGGTTGTAAAGCCCAAGATAATGGTCCAAATCCTAACTCTGCTCGGCCTATTTGTCTGGCTCAAATTCCCCTCTTAATTGCCCCTATTGGCAATAAATTTTGAACATCTTTTGCCACTACCTCGACATGATGAAGTGTTGATCGTCGCGTTCTTTGTATGGCTGGTCGAGCATCTAAAAAAAACATTCAATTGATGACAAATAAAGTTTGGATCGACACCAAGGATGTCGTAAGGCGTCCATGCGAATACTTCAATGTTAGCCACCAAAAAGTTTACAATCTCCAGGCGCTCTTGAGAAGATAAGTACGAGTTGAGCAAGAAGAACTTGCTTGGGTCGTTTTCATCAATTCGCACTTCCACCAAGTCCTTCACGACTTTGTCTTCAACTTTCTTGCCGACGTCGTCTAGGACCTTCTAATCCTCTGGTCCTTCGATCATTTGAATAATCTTATGAATAACATTATATATAATCAATTTTTATCACTATCTTATTACACCAAATTTAAAAGAAAAAAAATGACTATTTATTTTTATTTTTTGTGTAATTTCTTTCTATGCACTGAATCATAACCATTCAACTCATAGTGACATAAATGATAAGAAAAATTTAGCGACATGTAAACATTTTTATAATCGTATTCAAATCCTTTTGGAATCAGATGACTAGGTTTGCAATGCATGTGCTTTTTGAGATTAAAACCTCAAAACTAATAATGCTACTTATGGAGTAATCAAAATATGCTAATCTCAAAAATGCCCTAATCTACCATTATAAGCAGATAAATAAAAGGGAAGAAAGAAATGGGGATTGGAAGACATACACACACTCACCCACACTTATTACATGTTTACCCTCACTCAGAGGGTTCGAATTAATATTACAGTCCCAAAATAATGAACAAACAAAATTATTACAAAATTTCTCTAATTAATTAAAAGAAAGGAAGCAAAAGGAAAGAAGATGGTGGCCACAGCCTTTGCCTCGGGGTGCGCGGATGATGCATGCTCGAATCCGTCCTGCCCGAAAAACCCGTACTATACTCTTGTCACCTTTGTTTGTACTGCCTTGTCTTTCTGAAAAATTGCCAAAGTACTGGGACAAGCTCCTTGCATCCTGTAGAGCACCACCGGCCAGACAGAATTGCCATCGGCACTTCAAAATTCCCATCGGCACTTTATCGGATTCATCGGCATTCCAGATAGTGCCGGTCGGCACTAAATTCTGCCGGTCGGCAGAAACTTCCTGCAGAAGACAATTTGACAGCAAAACAGAGAACAGACAGTGCATGGCATGGAGTTCTTGGACACATGTAAGCATGGTCCTACTTCTTATCATATTTTGAACTCAAAGAAGCATGACTTTCGATCCTTGAACACCATGGTAACATGGTGGGTGCAAGGATCGAATTTGCCATTGATATAAAATGCATGCAACAACAGAAACATGAAAGACCGGGGCCTTATCAAGTTGGAGTCAAAGGTCCCGATGACCGGGAATCAAGGCACATTACATCACTTGAAGTATGAATGGTCCTTGATTCCCAAACTTGGTTTGACACCCCAAACCAAGTAAATGCAATGCATGTAATGCTCACAAGCCTCAAATGTATCATGCCACCAAGATGTAAAACACAACAAACAATATGCAACTATCATGACAAAATGTATGATACCAAGCACACAAGATACAAACATGATGCAAACATGGAGCAAATTGACCATGGGATTGATGTGCTACAAGGCTTAATGGAACAAATATGCAACAAACATGGAGCAAGCATGCAAGAGGGCTTAAAGTGGCAAAGGGGCAGGCCCTCATCCTTCTCAAAACAGTGGCCAAAAGTGCTCAAAATGATAGACAATCAACTCACGTTAACAAGCAAACTTATGGTCCCAAAGCTAAGGCACAAAAGGAGACAACTTACCCCCACCAACATGACCACTCATGGCATGATTAAAGCCAAGCAAAAACAGAATTTGTGCATACAAAATAGGACCCCAAGACTCCTAATATGGCAGCTAAAACAAACCCCATGAAACAAATACACCAAGGCTCATCCTTCTCAAAACAGTGGCCAAAAGTGCTTAAAATGATAGACAATCAACTCGTGTTAACAAGCAAACTTATGGTCCCAAAGCTAAGGCACAAAAGGAGACAACTTACCCCACCAACATGACCACTCATGGCATGATTAAAGCCAAGCAAAAACAGAATTTGTGCATGCAAAATAGGACCCCAAGACTCCTAATATGGCAGCTAAAACAAACCCCATGAAACAAATACACCAAGGCTCATTCTTAGGCATAGGAGGACACACCCTCAAGACATGAAAAAGACCATGCATGCACACATGTAAGCATGATTCTTGGACTAAAAAGAAAGTCCTTAGATGGTATTAAACCATGAGGGTAGTCACAAACATACATGCTAGAGGCCATCATGCTCAAAGATTTTAAGCTAAAATACAAAGCAACCCTAACAAACATGTCAAGCATGGCTAAATGGATAACCAATAAACCTTAAGCATGGAAAAACATCACCAAGAACTTCATGGAACTAAGCCAACTCTCACAAGAATCATGGCCTACCCATGATGTGCACTTCTAAGCAAAGTAGAGCAATACAAAACAAGTATTACAAGCATGCAAGGAGGCACAAATTTGACCAAAAACAGAGATTATATATGACCTAACATGCCTAAAAAAAATGCTGAAATGAAGCCAAGAAACAACAAGCACACATGTTATCCTCTTGAGCCTAAAAAGCAAGGAAACAAAACCATAAAGGGAGAGGGGTGTCCCTCCCCTATGCAAGACTTCAAACCAACTTTTTTGACACTAAAATACACTGATTTTTGGTGATCAAAAGATCAAAATGCTGAAGTGAACAAAACCTTATCAAAAGGGCACCAAAATAGGCCAAACAAGGCCTATGAGGGTGAGTTTGCAATCTAACCACAAAGAGACCTCAATGAAAGTGTTAGAGCAGGAAAATATGAACCTTTTTTATGTTATACACAAGAGCCAAAACAATAAACAAAATAGGTAGAAAACCAATGCAAGTTTGGGGAATAAAAGGGAAGATGCTCACCCTTGAAGAACCCTTGAAGAACAAATGGCCTAACCTCCTTCTTTGG